TAGATTTATTGTAGAGATGAGGTCTCACCAAGTTACCCAGGTGGGTCTCGAACCCGTGGGCTCAGGCAATTCACTCACCTCAGCTGCCCAAAGTGCTGGGATTACAGGCTGAGCCACCAAGCCCGGCTTTATAATTTTGTTTCTACGTATTTTTTTTTTTCACTTCACATTGGCCAAGTCTTGGATACTCAGCATTTTCTGCTCTGTTTTTTGCATGTCGTCCTTTATTTTTCAGCTATAGAGACTTGGCCAGTCATCAGCTTATCTAGGAAAGGATGGCAGATGAAAGAAGCTAAAACTGAAACCAGCTTACCCCCTCTTTACCACCTCTGGGAGAGTAGGCTGAATTCTTTGGTTCCAATGGGACATCAAGCCCTGGCTACTTGGGACTACAAAGCTATCAGGTCATCTGTGGCAGATCAAACCTAAGGTGGCCCCAAGATCCTCACCTTCAGGTATAAGCCCTTGTACAATCTCTTCCCCTTGAATATAGACAAGACCAAAGACTTGTTTTTTTTTTGTTTATTTGGTTTTTTTGAGTCAGTGTCTCACTCTATAGTTCAGTAGCACAATCATGACTACTGCAGCCTTGACCTGCTGGGCTCAGGTGATCCTCCTGCCTCAACTTCCAAGTAGCTGGGTGGCATACCACCATGCCTGGCTAATTTTTTGTATTGTAGAGAACAAGGTCTCGCTCTGTAGCCCAGGTTGGTCTTGAGCTCCTGGGTTTATGCAATCCTCTTGCTTCGGCCTCCCAAAGTGTGGGGATTACAGGTATAAGTCACCATGCTCGGCACCAAGACTTGCTTCTGAATGTTAAAATTATTGGAATGTCACTCTCTTGATTAGGTTGCAATATATGGCAAAGAAATGAGAAGTCACTCCCATGATTACATTATGTATATGTGACCTGGTGTTGCTGTTTGTTCTTACTCTTCTGCTAGTCTTGAAGGAGCAAGTGACCAGGCTGTGAACTCCCTGTGGAAAGGGTCACAGAGTGGGAACAAAGGGCAGCATCTAGGAACTGAAGGTGGTCTCTGGACAATGCCAGCAAGAAACTAAAGCCCCTAGGAAATGAATTCAGTTAGCAATCTGAGCAAACTTGTAAGCAAATCCTTCCCCAGTTAAACCTCTAGATGAGAACACAGCTCAGTTGACACCTTATTAAGACCCCAAGCTGAGGATCTAGCTAAGTATGTCCAGATTCTTGACCCATGGAAACTGTAAGATAATAAATATGTGTTGTTTTAAGCCACCAAGTTTATAGTAACTTGTCATGCAATAAAAGAACACATACCATATCTAATGATCCTACAGTAAAAAATACAGTCTTCTGACCTGGGATTGAGAGGTTTGGGCCATAAGGTTAGCTCTTGTCTTAAATAAGTGATGACTTTGGGCAATTCAACTTCTCTGGGCTTCATTCTCCTCATCTCTAAAAATGAGGGTTAGATTAGATCAGCACTACTCAACTTCATGTCTCAACATACTTGTGGGTCATAATCAGCTACGACTTCTGCAGTATTTGTTCAACAATTATGTGTTCTAAAACCTGTAAAAATCATTTACTTTATAAAATCCTGGGTATACCCATGGAAGCATGTCACGTTTTGGGGTGAGAGAATAAGTTTGAGATACACTAAATTGTTCTATCTTTAAGGTGTCTTCAAAATCTAATAGTCTATAAAGCAGTGTACCAAATCCTGCCTAAGCACCTAGCAAGAGTAGTAGTACCAACACAAGTGCCATTCGAAATCCTCCTAATCCTTGTTAGTGGGACTCTGAATGTGTTCAGGCACCTAGCAGAAATCTTGTGACTTCAGGGAAGGCAGGCCCTGCCCTTGGTCCAAGATATACTCAGTGGCCTAATTAGATGTAAGGAGAAGAAGGAAATCTACTAGTAGGCTGTGGAGAAAGATTTTTCTTCCCTGATAAACGAACCATCTATCTTTCACTGTCCTGACTATGAATGTGGATTTGAAGATAAGATGCTTGGAGGGAAAGCAGCCATTCTGCAGTCATGAGGGAAAGACCAAGAGAATCAGACATGCAACCTAGTGCCCTGATATCACAGACCTGCTAACAATCAGACTCAGATGAGATAATTAAATGGCCTCAAGGCTCAAGTATCTGTCAGACAACCTCTGCTACTTGCAGCTGAAAATATTCCCAGGTGATCTAGCAGGGAATGCAGAGATAAAAATGACATGATTCACTGGGCTCGGTGGCTCAGCCTGTAATTCCATGCCTTTGGGAGGCTGAGGTGAGTGGATTGCCTGAGCCCACGGGTTCGAGACCTGCCTG